ACACATGGTACATCATGTCACAAATAGATATGTGCATTTGTTTCATGATCTGCTTAACAATAGCGGAATGATGGCCATTTTAAGGCCGAAAATGCATCAAAATCACGTATTTTCACAATTCCAGAACCGGATCTCAGTCATGCATGGATGGATTTTGTTCAAATTTGGTACATACATTAAACATAATAGGACCTTGATGCACGTCTTTTTTTTCCGGATCAAGTTCGAAATGGCAGACTGGCGGCCATTTTGTTAAAGAATTCAGTTCTGGATCCGTATCCAAGACATGTCTGGATTGATCAAGTTCAAACTTCACACACACATGGTACATCATGTCACAAATAGATATGTGCATTTGTTTCATGATCTGCTTAACAATAGCGGAATGATGGCCATTTTAAGGCCGAAAATGCATCAAAATCACGTATTCTCACAATTCCAGAACCGGATCTCAGTCATGCATGGATGGATTTTGTTCAGATTTAGCACAATGTGTTGTACATATGCAGGTGCATTTCGGTCATGATCTGCTTTGAATGTATATGTCACTCAAATATGAACGGAACGGGGACGTGTCATTGACAATGACTTGTTAATTGGAATGTTCAGTGCTAACAGCAGAGCTATCTCAGCCGAGAGGCTGCTTGTTTTTGAATACTTGGCCAATGCAATACTACAATTGCATATTTGTTTTATAGTCTTTCCTTTTAGTCTTTCTCGTTTGTTTGATATCACATTTTTTAAACAAGGATTTTATTTTTCTTATAAATCCTCCATATTCATGATCAAAGGTTACAACCCGAACGCATGCATAATCACCTGTGTCTCATACATACATGTAGTACTATAGAATATGTCTATTTTGTTGTGATATGTACAATCTTTTCATATCACATTGTCAAGTCTGATAGTTATTTGTACAGATATATTTATACTTACTGTGTCCTTTTTATTTCAGAGCTTCTGTAATTCTTGCTGGGTTAGGGTTTTCAACACATATGCAGTCACAAAAAACAAGGTAGGTATACTGTAAAATACTGTATTTTCACTTGTAATTCATTTTCGCTGAATGAATGATTCAGTGAAAATAAAATCCAGCGAATGTACCTTTATTCTTATATTTTACATTCAACTTGTCAAAAATCAGTGAAAATAAATTCCATACAAAACACCCAACAAATTAATTCCAGCGAAAATAATGTATTTTACAGTATCCATTCTCACATTCTTTAAACTGTTGACACATTCAAGTCTTTCACAGGGGTTCTTAATTTCGTCTATCAAGCTGTCAAATTTCTGATAGCGGAAAATATAGTTTAAGCCAGATTGTAAAATTAAGTGTTTTTGATAACCCAAGCCTTTCCTAGATTTTGCAATCCTTCCCTGTATCTTTCATGGCTAAACTGGAAAGTGGCCACTAGAGGATGCCCACTTCCTGTTTCTAACTGCATCCCTGCATCTGTTATGGTTAAACTGGAAAGTGGTCACATCATTTTGATTTGTCTACTGAAGATGGCTGGCTTGACCCATCAGGTCATTTAAATACTACTGGCATAGGTCTAATAGCTAAATTATTCTTAAATGTGTATTGTCTTGAGACTGAACACAAAATATGTGCTTTGGTCAGTCACAAAATGATTGTGAATAGAAACCTTTATACTAATTAATTATGTATGCCATGCCATTGACATTTTTTATCTCGCTATAAATGATATTATTCATTGTCACATGCATAACACATGTATCTCCATAGTGACAAATACCATGGGATACAGGTTTTCTCTCTGCTGTTATATTCTACCACACACACCAAAATTATTCACTTTTTAACAAAAAAAGAGAATTATATATGCTTATGGTCTTTACCATTAAGGGAGGGAATGAAAATCAAACAAGTGGTTTCTGGCCTAGTATCCGGAGAGATCGGGGGAGCTCTGAGGTGCTGCTCCCCATAGCTCAGGGAAGCTCCGCGCGATATGCAAATTTATGAAGAATATTCATGAACTGAAAATTCAGTGCGGTGCCTAATTTTCGCCAGCAGACTGGAACAAATTGAAAACTCATTGTTTAACTGCAAAAGAACATCAATTGCTGTATAAAAATAGAACACCTTAAATAGGTGTTCTAGATAGAACACCTTAAACAGTTTCCTTAGTAAAATGCCATTATGTCAAACCATCAAAATCAAACTGCCTGAATATAATTGAGACACTTTCATTGACTTGAACGCACTGGCACTGAATCCAAATTGGAAATCTATAACAGGACAGGAATCTCGGCTCCCTGAACTTTGAACCAATTTCTATTAATTTATCAAACACCAGGCAGCTACTTGACCAGTTGAACCTGTTCGTAATCGGACAGAAAAAATGCCATTTCCGGCGACCTCATTAATAGCTAATTAGTGACATTTTTACGCAGATACCTGACAGGAAACTGCTTGTTGGATTGTGATCACCTCTCTAGATACACAACGAAAACTATGCATATCAAAATTTTTGTTTTATGTGAAAGATAACAGACATTAACTTTGCTGTCCAGAAGGTTAATTAGAATTAATGTCACCGTATATATTCTTTATTGTCACTTACAGGGAGTTTTCCGGTGGTTGGCGAATGAGGCTGGCATTGGCAAGAGCTTTGTTTTCCAGGCCAGATTTACTATTGTTGGATGAACCCACTAACATGTTGGATTTAAAAGCAATATTATGGTTAGAAAATTACTTACAGGTGAGAAGTGTAACCATCTATTTATGATTTCTTAATATTCATTAAAGGTGACCCCTAAAGATCACACATCCTGGTACCTTCTGATTGTGTTATCCTATTGTACGTCAATGATGTTGCCATAGCTACTCATTGACTGGCTAGATTTATTCTCGGGGACAGACATCCTGTCATTTTCACCGCCTGTCAACCATCACAGTGAAAACAAAAGCCGAAAACTCTCAGAAAACGGTACTCTGGGGTAGTTGTTGAGACTCTCCTGAACAGTGTAACAAGATTACCCCTAAATGTACAATATATATAAATTTGGTTGTTCAGGATTAATTCAAAGTTGAGTTTGTACTGTTTTTCGGCTTTATCTGGTTTCACCTGCTCTTCGACCGGTGTTCCACAACAACTTGCACTGAGCCCATAGAAATACATGGTACAGTTGTGCCTGTCTTAGCAACACAGAACGTTCTGTGCTACAAGTATCGTTTGGTTTGTCAAAATACAACAAACATCCTGACATAATGCTTCGTGATTCTAAACTAACTCAAATATTGTTGTTGTTTGTTTTTTTCTGTAGGGTTGGCCAACCACGTTGCTGGTGGTTTCTCACGACAGGAATTTTCTGAATGCCGTCGCCACTGATATTATTCATTTACACTCACAGAAATTAGAAACTTACAAAGGAGATTATGAATTATTTGTTAAAACAAAAACAGAAAAATTAAAGAATCAACAGCGAGAGTACGAGTCACAAATGAAAGAGAGAGAACATATACAGGTACAGAATTGGTTTTTAACTTAACACCAAGATCAACTTTTGTGACCTTGAACTTATGTGTTTTTGTTTTTTTCAATCCTGTTTCTAACAATTTGTATATAAGAAACAGATACAATATTTGAACTTTGGCATGCTAACAAAAACATGTATAATCTATCTGACCCCCTAGATTGGTTAAAATTAACACTATTAAGGAATAGTGTTTTGTAAAGTACTCTGCTACTCAAGATGCATTCGCAGAAAAAATAATATTTACTGTTGCCATGACAACACTAAAACTGTACCTTTGTTTTATTTGCAGGCTTTTATTGACAGGTTCAGATACAATGCCAACAGAGCTGCACTTGTACAAAGTAAAATCAAACTATTAGAAAGAATGTAAGTAAAGTTCAACTGGAACTCACACAGTCCTTGAATTCATAACATTTTGCCTGGATATCATATACACACACTGGCTAAAGGTTGACCATTAGAAACTCAGGGGGAGGGGGATAGAATTTGAAAAAGAAATCCACATAGTGGAGAAAAAAAATTCTATAGAGACAATAACAGAAGAAAATATATTTAGAAAAGAAAATATTTAATAATAAAAAAGTTGTACATATACTATGATATAGTGGTTTTTTTCTCGAAGTATATGCTCTTTATTATTTTAGGAAAACAATAGAATTCATACGTTCAAAAAATGCTGTGCGGATATGCTCGAAAGTGTTACAGGAACATTTTGAAAGTTATTTTTTAGGAACTGTACATCAAATTTATGTTACATACTAACACTTTCCGTTGTTTACACCTGCAAACAATGTCGGGCATGACTGAAATAGAACTACATCCTTGAACGCAAATGACCGCGTATACACTAAAATACGAGTAAATGCAGGGAAAAGATATACAATAATAAGATTATCATGAGAATACTGCAAATTATGCACTCAGGCAGTACAGTATCACATTGACCTCTACTATACAACGATCGATTATATCATTGTACTGTTTTTGTGTATACTTTGTGGTGTTCTCATCATAATTTCATATTATGCATATACCGTAATAGTTGAAAGAATAGATTCTAACCATTAGTACAAACCTGTACGAAAGTGTTATGGATACGATTGAATATGTTTACATCATATTCAAACACATTACCTTTTGTTTGTATAAAAACAAAGTTATTATAATAATATCGCAAGGAATACATTCAGCTAACCTACACCATCAAATAATTTTGTCCATACTTCGCGATATTTTCACAATTACTTTGTGGTAGAAATATGATGGGGAACTGTTATGTATTTACTGTATAAACATTTGAACTGTGAATATGTTTGTCTAACAATGTTGATGTTAATCATATCTCCTACGTTTTGATGTTAAACAGGCCACATATTACGCCAGTTGAAAAAGAATCTGAAGTTATACTCAGGTATGTACAGCAGTATTTTACAGTAGACTATGTTTTTGTGATTTCATGTTTTGAGATAAATTTATTCCATTTTTTTTTTTTTACTGATTTTCATGCATTTTTTATCGGAGTAATTTTTCCATATAATCTTTTTTGGATCCATTTGGATTTGCATCAAACATGGTTGACTGGTGTCACTCTTACCAGTACTCAACATGTTTAATTTGCAATAAAAAAGACTTTCATCACAGATTGCGAAGTTCATATGATGTTGTGAAGTGTGAAAATGGGGGCAATACATTTAATTGGGATTTATGAAATGTATATCGATGATTGTCGATTTTCAGTTTTTATTATGCTGTATTTGCTTTGTTATCAATTCTTCTATAGGTTTGCAGAGGTTAATGAAAAGTTATCACCTCCAATATTACAATTGGATGAGGTGAAATTCTACTACAGTGAAGATAAACCCATTTTTAATAGCATTGATGTATCAGCCAACCTGGAATCAAGAATATGTATTGTAAGTAAGAAGAGTCCTGAATGATACTGCCCTCTAGTGGCAGGTGACTGCCCTCTAGTGGCAGGTGATGCATGCCTCCATAGATCACTTTCCTAGAAGTAGTGAGACTGGGGTGAGAGCGTTTTTCATGGCGCAAATACAGACATGCCACCCTGTTGATATTTAGTAAAGGAGAATCTTATATTTGTCACATAGTTGCAAGCACAAGCATACAAGGGTATATTACATTATTACATTCCAAAATGGTATGTGCTCGCTTGCACAATGCTGTATCTTTGACTTCCGGGAAAGTGATCTATTGAATGTCAATGCCTGCCTTCTTGTGAGATGTCTGCCCTCTAGTGGTGATGATGCCTTTCATTCTGTATGAAATCTTTCTTCCAGTGAGAACAATGCCCTCTCTGTGTGATGTCTGCCCTCTAGTGGGGATTATGCCATTCTTTCTGTATGACATCTGTTCTCTAATAAGAACAATACCCTTCTTTCTGTGTGATGTCTGCCCTCTAGTGGTGATGATGCCTTTCTTTCTTTTCTTTCATCTTGCGGAAATAATTCCCTCCCTTCTGTGTGATGCCTCCCCTTCGTCCACTCTCATTCTAAATTAGTGTTATCTTTACTGTTGGTGTGTTTTTTTTCATGATTTGACTCAAAATTGATATGTCCGGCTTGTTTCCCATGCAGAAATAATTGTCACTGATTCTGTTTAAATTTGTCAGTTTGTGACAAAATATAATGGTATGCATATATCTTGTGTGCATATATCTTGTGTGCATATATCTTGTGTGCATATATCTTGTGTGCATATATCTTGTGTGTGTGCATATATCTTGTGTGTGTGCATATATCTTGTGTGTGTGCATATATATTGTGTGTGTGCATATATCTTGTGTGCATATATCTTGTGTGTGTGCATATATCTTGTGTGTGTGCATATATCTTGTGTGCATATATCTTGTGATCAGACACAATGTCCTGGCCATGTAGGTTTTCAAATGCACTGCATGCACAAACCAATCGATTATCCTACCAATGTGGACTGGGGAAATTCCATATAAATGTAAGTTATTTTTCCAGAGATACAATACAGTCGTACATGTAATTCATGATATCTCTAAGGGCAATTATTGGACTGTGACATGTCTTGTTATTGTAACATGTCTTGTTATTGTAATGTACATGTATAGTGCAATGGGAACACCAGGGGTTTTTCTAGAAAAAAACTGCAAGAGGAGCACTGCAATTCAGCGGAGCCACCGGGGTGTTGAGTTTTTTATAATTCTAAGTTACAATGGAGCATTCTATGGCTTCCTTGGGACCAAAATTACTATCAGACAGGTCACAGTTGAAGACTGTGGCCACATGTGATCTCTGGTCACTCCGAATTTTATGGTTGCCAGAGAATCTGCTCCCCAGGGTAAGAGGGCGCATGTCCATGGCATGAGGGCGCTGTGCCCCTGTTCCCTTGGAAACACTATTTATTGATTTTCATGTTACTGTGTATAGGTTGGTGAGAATGGAACTGGTAAAACAACATTACTGAAGATTCTCCTTGGAGATTTGTCACCAGTTAAAGGGATCAGACATGCACATAGGAATTTACAAATCGGTTATTTTAGTCAACATCACGTCGACCAATTAGATATGGATATGACGTCACTGGAAGTTATGTCAACTAAGTTTCCAGGTTAGTTGTGAACACATGGGTTGATTGTGGCTGGTTAGTGAAATACATGGCTTGGGAATGGCTTATCATGTTATCAGCAGAATGAGTTGATGACTGGGTTGATTATGGCTGATTAGTGGAAACACATGGGTTGGGGATGGCTTATCATGTGATCAAAGGAATGAGTTGATGACTGGGTTGATTATGGCTGATAAGTGAAAACATGGGTTGGGGATGGCTTATGTGATCAAAGGAATGAGTTGATGACTGGGTTGATTATGGCTGATTAGTGAAAATACATGGGTTGGGGATGGCTTATCATGTGATCAAAGGAATGAGTTGATGACTGGGTTGATTATGGCTGATAAGTGAAAACATGGGTTGGGGATGGCTTATGTAATCAAAGGAATGAGTTGATGACTGGGTTGATTATGGCTGATTAGTGAAAATACATGGGTTGGGGATGGCTTATCATGTGATCAAAGGAATGAGTTGATGACTGGGTTGATTATGGCTGATTAAGTGAAAACATGGGTTGGGGATGGCTTATGTGATCAAAGGAATAAGTCGATGACTGGGTTGATTGTGGCTGATTAGTGAAAATACATGGCTTGGCTTATCATGTGATCAAAGAATGAGTTGATGACCGGGTTGATTATGGCTGATTAGTGGAAACACATGGGTTGGGGATGGCTTATGTAATCAAAGGAATGAGTTGATGACTGGGTTGATTATGGCTGATTAGTGAAAACATGGGTTGGGGATGGCTTATGTGATCAAAGGAATGAGTTGATGACTGGGTTGATTATGGCCGATTAGTGAAAATACATGGCTTGGCTTATCATGTTATCAGCAGAATGAGTTGATGACCGGGTTGATTATGGATGATTAGGGTAAACACATGGGTTGGGGATGGCTGATAATTTGATCAGCAGAATGAATTGATGACTGGGTTGATTATGGCTGATTAGTGTGAACACATGGGTTGGTTACATTGGTGATGACTGGTTTTCTTCATCATTGCTGTTCATATATGCATGTATTTATGAAATTGTTCTTCTTAATTTCTGTCTCTAGGTAAAACGGTTGAGATGTATCGCCATGCATTAGGTGGTTTTGGAATTTCAGGTGACTTAGCATTGCGGCCTGTATCTAGTCTTTCTGGAGGACAGAAAAGTCGAGTAGCATTTGCTATTCTCAGTATGCTGAGGTAAGACTTGCATACAAAGTTTCGCTCCTGTATTACCATAATCCGTTCAATAGTTAGATTTGGAAATGATTAGGTATTGGTGATATGGTAGAGTCATTGTAGATGTCGATGGGGGTAATTTTAAAAGAAATGTGAAATATAAAAATACAGGAACACTTATTAGTTTTCTTGTGAGGGGATGGATGGCTTATGAATGTGATACTTCTTGCTCAGTTGTTGAATTACAAAAGGGAATTAAAAGTTATAATATTAGCAAAAAAGGTGGTCCAACTAATAAAGGAGTGAGAGGGTCTAATTAAGAGGAGTCAGGAGGTCCAATTATTACAGGGGTTAGAGAGTCCAATTGATAGAGGGGTGAGACTTGTTAGAAAGTCCTATTATTAGAGGGGTGAGAGAGGCCCGATTAATAGAGGGTGAGCAGTTTCAATTAAAAGAGGAGTTAGAAGGTTCAAATAAAAGAGGAGTTAGAAGGTTCAATTAAAAGAGGAGTTAGAAGGTTCAATTAAAAGAGGAGTTAGAAGGTTCAAATAAAAGAGGAGTTAGAAGGTTCAAATAAAAGAGGAGTTAGAAGGTTCAATTAAAAGAGGAGTTAGCAGGTTCAATTAAAAGAGGAGTTAGAAGGTTCAATTAAAAGAAGAGTTACAAGGTTCAATTAAAAGAGGAGTTAGAAGGTTCAATTAAAAGAGGAGTTAGAAGGTTCAATTAAAAGAGGAGTTAGAAGGTTCAATTAAAAGAGGAGTTAGAAGGTTCAATTAAAAGAGGAGTTAGAAGGTTCAATTAAAAGAGGAGTTAGAAGGTTCAATTAAAAGAGGAGTTAGAAGGTTCAATTAAAAGAGGAGTTAGAAGGTTCAATTAAAAGAGGAGTTAGAAGGTTCAATTAAAAGAGGAGTTAGAAGGTTCAATTAAAAGAGGAGTTAGAAGGTTCAATTAAAAGAGGAGTTAGAAGGTTCAATTAAGAGGAGTTACAAGGTTCAATTAAAAGAGGAGTTACAAGATTCAATTAAAAGAGGAGTTACAAGATTCAATTAAAAGAGGAGTTACAAGATTCAATTAAAAGAGGAGTTACAAGATTCAATTAAAAGAGGAGTTACAAGGTTCAATTAAAAGAGGTGAAAGAGTCCAAATAATAGTGGGACCAGACAATTCAATTAAAAGAGGGGTGGAGGGTCTAATTAATAGAGCAGTCCAACAAATAACAGGGAGTGGCAAAGGGTTTAATTAATGAAGGAAACAAACCAATAAAGAAGAATAAGAAGGTTCAATTAATAGAGGAGTCCAAGAAAAAATATTATATTTAATAATTGTGATTCAAGGTAAATTTTATGATCAGTCCTGAATCTCATCTAAGATTTGGAGATGATTGAATAATTTTTAAACTCACAACTTATCACATTCAATTAAAATTTGACTTTCTAATATATTTTGAAATATTATAATATTTTTGACTTTTCCTGTCATTTTATGCTTTAACTTTATGTTGAGATAATATCAAAATTAAAATCTCTTTTAAAACGAGTTTGATTTTCTCATTTTGATCTTTGTATTTTATACACAACTGTACAGAATGAATGCATGTAAAGTACAAATAAACCTGAATGCACAAAAATTTATTTAGATATAGAATGTACAGAATTGAAGGAAAGTTACTGTCTAGAAATGTTTCCAAAAGTTAAGATTATATTATATTATATTCTTTTCTTACAACAGTATGTTTTAATTTCAGGCCTAACTTCTTCATACTTGATGAACCCACAAATCATTTAGACATGGAAACCATTGAGGCTTTGGGTAAAGTTCTTAATAAATTCCAGGTATGGTTATTCATATTTTCTGTAACAAGTTCATGGTATAGTGGTTGAGATATTCTTATTAGTTCTTGTTTTAGACAAAGTCAAAAATCATCTGCGTGTCCAGAGCCATTTCTCAGACATGCTTTGACCGATCATATTCAAATTTAACAAACAGACTATGTATAATGACTTACATATGCATATCAATTTTAAATTAGATTTGATCAAGTATGGCTGACTGGCAGCCAGTTTGGTTCCCAAAATTGCTAATGTCGTGAACCGTTTCTCAGAGATGAATGGGCAATTTCATTCTTATCATGCATATTGAATTGCAGCTGCAAGTCAAATTTTTCTGAGATTTTAATGATTTTGGCAAACTGATGGCCATTTTGTTTTTATTCATGTGATTTTATTAAAACTTTGTATAATGATCACGCATATTAGATGCACATCATATTTTTGTTGTGATTCAAACAACAATGGACGACTGGCGGCCATTTTGTTTTTATAAATGTCCATGCCGATTCTTCACTAATATACAAGTACCTACTATACTCTGAGGTTGCGTTATTTTGTGAATTTAACTTTTTCAATAGCCGCATCATCTCCAGATGTTGCACCTTGACTTGAGCTGCACAGGCTTTAAGCCAAGGGACAATATCTATGTTCACCTAACACAATAGCGTTTTACAGTTATCAGTCTTCACAGTCTGCATAAAGACACACAGACGTGTGGATTTACAGAAATTATAAACATACGTCTAGAGCAATAGGTCACATGACCAATAGAGTTATAAATATCCATAGTGATAACAAATGTCCTAGCAAGTACAAATATTTTTGATATGTTGTGGATCATGTTTTTACAATGGAAAAGTGTGAATACACATATTCTATGTATGATAAGTTATAATACCATTCTGCATTATCTAATGGAGTAAATGAGCCATTAAAAATCACATCACAAAGTCAGAGAAAGTCCGTCATACACCAACTTAGCCATACTCATTGCCAAACATCACAAAAGCTCTCTTCAAAAGGCAACTGAAAGCTGCACGACAACATTCAAACAGCCGCAATTACTATCTTCCCCTTTTCTGACCAAATCACGCCCTCTACCGACAGTAGGTGTTTTTACTTTCGTTTTTATACATCTTGATCAAACCATACATAGACTGGAATACTATAATCAAACAGTATTAAATACATAATTTACAAACCCATAATCTTAAAAAATGCTAAAACCATTTCTCAATGACAGATCAACTTTTACACTTGTTATTCTTGTCTTTTACAGGGAGGTGTGATACTAGTTTCTCACGACGAGAGACTGATTACAATGATTTGCAAGGAATTGTGGGTATGTGGCAATGGAACCGTCAAACGCGTTGAAGGAGGATTTGCTGAATACAAACAAATACTGGAGGAAGAGTTCGCTTCCCAATAAAACTGTCAAATTGGTGTGAAGATAATAAGCAACAACGTCATAGATGCAACAGATTCTGTGCTTGAACTTGAGATTAATTACACCTGCTGGACTACATCATGTATGCAATAAAACACTGCAGCATAATCGCAATATTGACGTCACAATGTAGTTTGTGATATAAAGAAACCGACAGTAGCGGATCCAGGCATACGCCCATGCTGTCGTCAGATTCACAAGAAAGTACCAACAATGGGGAGGATTTCCCAGACTAGGAAATGACACGTCCCCGTACATCTGACATCAATATATACCTACTCTTACTACTCATGTCTATATCTTGCTTACTGCTATATAAATACCCCGCCATCAGTCATCTCACTAATCGTCATCCTCAACATTAAAAGTAATTATTTTTTTGATCTATTAATGATCACTTATTACACATTTTATTCATTATTTACTGTATTTTTTTTTTTGCATAATGTTTTCAACTTTTGTTTCAGAAATGTTGATACATTGTATTTATTCACTACACTATACTGCTAATAAATCGATGTCCTTCTGTTCTGCAGACCTTGCCAGCTCTAAACCTGAAATTAAATTGTCTGCTTTTTATTTCTACTTTTTTGAGCAGCACTGCATGTCATCAGCAACATCCCTGCTTAGGTATGAACTTTTGTTCTTATATCTACTCCCTTTTCAGAACTTTTTTTTGGGGGGGGGGGTTAATTAAAACTAATCATATGCCAATAATATAATGATAACTTATCTATCAAGACAAGCAATTTTGAGGCTAGAGGAAAAAAAGTAAAGAGCCATAGTGAATAAACAATTACTGTTGAGTAACACATATGATAAATTGCTTTTTGTTATGTTTATATGGCTTTGTGTTGACGTATACAAAGTCTTCAAATTTAAACAAACTAGCCCATATAATAAGCATTTTTGGTAACCTTTCAAACACTTGTATAATTCGCATCTGGCGAGGTTTGCATAGTTTATCCCCAGTTTCCCAATTCTCATAACTTTCACATTTTAAAGCAAGGTGAAACATACTTAGTCATGTTTCTGAACATATATTGTAACTAGATTGGCATTGTGGTTCAGAACATGTTTTACATGTGTAAATGTACAAAATCTTTTGTAAAACTGAATAATTAACAGTCCCACCGAAGACTAACTTCTCTCTCACTCTTGATTATTCAAATTCCAAAATTCATAGTCATGTTTTTTTTGGGTAATTATTACATTGCTTACAATCTCCCAAATAAGAGATGGTAACTGACAGAATTTTTCTTGGTTGATTTTTACCTCGCCGATGATGATAAAGAAGTAGTGGGGTATAGTTACAATGTCTGTCTACTGTTTTCATTGTTATCAACCACAGTATAATCTCGGAGCAGTTCAAGTTTGCTATAGCTATCTCGTATATTTTCAGAGATGTTGAGGAAAATGTGCCTTATTGGCTTAAACAGGAGGAGTTTGCAATCAAATGTAACAGATACCTGTGTCTAAGTGGGAACGTGCAACCAACACAAAGTGTAATTGAATACTGATAAGATTAGTCTAAACGTGTATTTAGAATATGGATAATAAGAATTTTTATTTTTACCTCACCTGTATTTTAGATGAAGAAAAGAGGAAACATCTGTCTTCCTCCTTGTTGTCCTAAACCCCTTGTTTCTTGTATAAATTAAGTGCAGAAATTAAGACATTTGAACAAGATGTCTGTCAAAGATACGTTACTTAGATAGCATAGTCACTAGAATAGAACTACAGAAAAGCTGTGAATATCTTGATCTTTATTCGTATATGTAGGTATATCTCTAGTACATACAGTACTATTTCGAAACCATCCCAGGAGACAAGCCCCAGTCAGTCTGTACAACGTGATACACAGCAGTCAAATCAAAAGTTTACCTAGAAAAAAAGAAACCTTGGTAACCTGACATGGATGACGAGCATCCGTCAGCAACATTTTTTATAACTAACAACCTAAAGCAATGTTCAAGAAAGATAAACTTTGAAAGGTATCCTGACCTTAGAGTATTAGCCTCTGACAACATCGCTTTTATAACTGATAGCCAGAAGCAATGTTTAAGAGTACTGAACTCTAAAAGGTATCGCGACCTGCAGTATGAGCCTCTGGCAGCATTCCTTCATAATTAATAAGCAATGTCCGAAAGATGAACTTTGAAAAGTCCCTTGCAGCATTCTTTGAAACTGACAACAATTTTTGAGAGTTGAACTTCGAAAGATACCCTGACGAGGAGTATGATTCTCTTGTCAGCAGTCTTTGAAATAGACAACCTAAACTAATGCTTGAAGGAAAACTTTTAAAGGTACCGAGTGTGTGCCACCTCTACTGCTTCCTGTGATAACTGGCACCCAAAAGATATTTTGGAGAGAGAGTCGCCACCTGCGCATGCGTCAAATGGCCATAGCGTGTCATTGTTTACAAACAAGCGTCTACCATGAGCCTTCGCGTTTTTAGCGTGTGTTGTCGATTCGGACTCAATTCCCACGCGTGCGCAAGTGACGACCCTCCCGCTTTAAAGTAAGAACATCCGAAAACATCCTCTGATAACGGAGTGGAATGTAGAAAAAGATGAATTTTGAAAGATATCTTGTCATACGATTCATTTGCAGTATGCTTAGAAAATGACAACTTGAAGCAATGTTCAATAATGACGAACTTTGAAAGGTGTCCTAACCTTAGAGTGCGAGCCTCTGGCAAAATTCTTTTTATAACTGATAATCAGAACAAATCTTCCAGAGTCTGAACTTTGAGACGTATCTTGGTCTACAATACGAGCTTCTTGCATCGTTTTTGTGAAACTGACAACCTGAGGCAATGTTTTAGAGATTATAACTTTGAAATTTTGACCTGGAATATGGGAGTATGTGCCTATTTTAGAATTTCTGAAACTGACAACTAGAGTCAATATTCAGGAAATATTATGGTTCATTGGCGTTCGTGCTTGTGTTGAAAGCAGTGGTGCTTACAACCATCGACTGAATGTAATCGCTCTCGAAATATCTGCTAAATATCACACGACTGAAAACCATACAACAATTTTGAAAAAGTTGTATTCCTGGGGCTCATTTTTTTAGTATGCTCGAGATTGCCACTGATCTACGTTCCCACGATATTTAAAACAGTGTGTCCGGTGAAGGGAGAGAATAGAATTATACTTGAGAGGCAAATAACAAGTCACGCGGTTCTTTCTCTCTCAACAACAGAGAAGCTACACATAAATAAATAAATTGTAGTCGAGGCAAATGTAAGTTTATTGACTTGAACAGTTTTTCGAGAAAATGATGGTCATATTGTCAGTAGTGTCTTTTACAAATCTCAAATTATAGGCGGGTGACATCGCGTGAAAACAATATATGTATAGCGACTAGTGGGATACCCGAATTATATCAATTATTTATTTTGCTTTAATATTGTGTTTTACTATGGAACTATTCTAAAATAGCAAATTTTGAATAAGATTTTTTTCATTTTTCATGTAACTAATGAACAATAGCTCTATGATTATACAGGATAAAAGACTAAACATTGCCATGCGATTCATACGATGTTCTACCATAAACGGAAGTGCTTAGCGTACCAAATATAAAAAATCTCAACACAGAGGAAAGTAAATACGCATGCGTCAAATTCATTCAGCGTAGATATTTCAAGCAGATGCAATACTTTTTGCAACTCTTATGTAGTATAAATATATTTACAATCAGTCTTGTTTTTGATGCTTTACAATCACTCTTGCATACTGCAAGAAATATAACTGTGGTTTTAAATTTAGTCTAACGGGTGAACCATATTAGAGTCTTCGGAAATACTTCGTCTTTAATAACCAAAAAGTAATGTGCCAAAAAAATAATCAACGTTATGACGTGTCATGCTAAACTTCACGAGAAATAATTTCCGTCCAAATTTATTAACAGAACCGCAATTTGAAATTGTGTTTTTCACAGCTATATTCTATATACCTCATGTATTCAAAAATTACATAAAATAAAGTTTTGTTGATGTTTGATGTAAAACAGTTGTATTTATCAACTGTTACTAACGAATGTTCGGGACCACCAGGATATAGTTGGGCACTGTTAAGAGTCCGGGGTAGGGGATACTGGTACTAACTTAGATTTTGGATGCATGTGAGTACTCCGCAGCCAGTTGTACACTGGACCTAAACAGATTGGCGCTTTTGACTCCAAAATTGGCATTTGTGCGAAATTATGGCCAAAATTGTGATCTTATGGCTGAATATTTTAACATTAGGAGTCGAAGAGATCAGCTTGACCGTGAAAATGGTGTTCAAAACGACAGCGCATAACCGTTATACTTCAACTATGGGAGTACCACTCGCCGGCGGTTTTCAAAAGTATTAGCACAAATAACAGCACAAAATTTTTTGGCTAAACCTTGCCAATTAAAAAAGGAACACCTCGTATTATAAATTCTACCTCGGCCTCAAACACAAATATTTACCAAAAACTAAATTGTAACCGAGAAATAGCTAAGGATAATTACGTATACAAGCATATTTAGACAATTCAATGATAATGACACATGGCACAGATACCATGCATTTCCGCTCCATCAAGCATTATGGGTAAATTATTGTACATAAATCACACAAAGTTTATTATATTTTATACATAATGATGAATCCAGAGTTTTTACGAATTTCAGCTGTCTTCGGAAAGACTTGGCCATTGATTATCTTTCGAAAATTATTAAAAGTGATTGAAAAGATGGCAGAACTGCCCGGAAATCTGACCTATGTTGATGTTGTGTTGCATTCTGCGGTTGGTGGTTCGGGAAAAGGATTAAAGGTCTTGCAAACGTTCATTATATAAGAGGACATAGGTCTACTCACTCAGAAAACATACAAAATCAATTGATATAAATTTCAAACATAAAATGACCGCAAATTTGCATTCAATTCACTCGTTGCTCATAGCATAGTATGTAAGTAATCGCCCGATCTTAAACTTAAGCTACATCAATCGTTAAAAGTCCCTGAATGAGAGACCAACTGAGCAAAACAGTAGGGGTAACTATTTTTTTTGCACTTTTCGCACACATATGGTAAAGATATACATAAATTTAATGTGTTTTTTTTCGTGACTGTCAAATATGGTGAATATCATGAATGTTCAAGGAAAGATCGAAGATATGCATGAAGATTCAACTAAAAGTTGCGTTTGTTGTAATCTATAGAAAAACGCTTGCAATGTTGTGAAAAGTGATTAAAAACATGATAGAATTGCTTGGAAATGTGACATATGCTGTCATCAAGTCACATCCTGTGACTGATAGTTCGGTGAAACGATTAAACCCCGGTAAACATTCATTATAAGCGAGTTGTCATCAGAGCTGATATGCTAGCAAACGTCTGCGATGTTGTGAAAAGTGATTGAAAAGCTCGATCTATGCTATTGTCATGTTGTACTCTGCAGCTGGTAGTTCGGGTCATAGTTCATAGGTCAACTCACGCCTACACATCAGAATGATAACACTTTTATGAATAAAGAACAAGTTTTTATGATATGTTTTTTTTTTAATTTGGAC